GAAATGACCTCTGGAAGAGGTCCAGATGGGTATTTATTTATTTTATTTATTTCATTTACACCCCATTTTGGCTTACAACACTCTTCCTTTCTCCATTTTACCCCCACAACAACCCTGTGAGATCAGTGAGTGACCTAAGGTCACCCAGCCAGCTTCCATGGCAGAGTGTGGATTCAGACCTGGGTCTCTCAGATTTTAGTTTGACACTATAATCACTACACCAGCGAGACTTTTCCATTGCTGAGGAGCCACCATTAAAAAAGCTATCTTCATGACTACCCATCTCATCTCAGTGAATGAGGATGTGCACCCAGTTGTATTTCTGAAGCAAATTTTAATCAACAGTGTAATAATAAACTGTTTCCATAGCTCTAGGAATGTGTCTAGACTAATAACTAAAGGCATTAACAGCAGTGGTAAGGCTCCAGTGTAACATATTTATAACAATTAGGTTTTTCACATGGTTAATGAGGGTAAATGTGTACTCCTTACATGGAATACTAAATCAGTTGTGGAAACAGCACTAATGATATGAATAAGTGAGGCTTGAAAATATGTTTTAAGGTTGCAAAATTTGAGAAGTGTTTAAGAGAAGATTCACTTACAGAGTAACCATATTCAAAATATCATGGAGAGTGTTGGTTGCAAGTTAGCCTCTCTATCTCCCTATACTTTGCCATGGTCATTCACTCTGACTTAGTTCAGAGGGTATGTTCTGACAGAAATGTGATAGGTATGCCTTCCCAAAGGCACATAATAGATGCACCAGGCAGAAATTCATAAGGAACAATGGGGCATAGCAATAAGTAACTAACTACCATGTACATATGTAGCAAACTTCTGAATCCCAGTGCTTAAGGGGCAGCATCAGAGGAAGGCCTTGTCCTCTATCCTCTGTTTGTTTGGGCCTTGGAACAACAGGTTGGCTGCTGTGTGAAACAGTAAATTGATGTGATTTCCCTAGTGCAATAGGGACATCTGATGTTTTCCGGTCCTAAGCAGAGGCGAAGTCTACCCTTTTCCCGCACTGCTCACATGCTGGGTCCCTCAGAGAAGGAAAGATGCAACCATAGAAAACAAATATTAAAGAAAGAAAGGCTTACCCAGAGGTGTTCACGATTTTCCCGTTGTTAAAGAACCCGGAGAGAACCTACCAAATATCCCTTCAGGACAGGACACAATGTCCAATACCTCTGTTTCTACCTGCCCACTCACTTAACTGGCTAGGACGCCCTCCAGGCGTAGTGCCCGAGGCCAATATAGAGACCTACCCGTCCCAATCCCCTTCGTCAGACAATAAAAGAAGGGGGGGGTCTCCTGAGAATGCCAACCACGTAGCAGGCTTGGCCAGGGCCCAAACCCTCCCAGCCATAATGTGGCCCTCATAGCAGCCCAGCTAACTCCACCACTTGCGGAGGTCAGAGGCCGTCATGGGGGTTTCAACTCTCATTATTGCCAACCGCGGCCATGTCCGTATGGGGCGGTCTGGCTCGGCGGCCCCCGGCTTCACGCTGAGCACCCAAAGCACTCGCGATGCCCGACACCCAGCCACGACCACTGTCCTTCCATACCCGGAAGTAGAGAAAGATCCGACGCCCAATAAGGCTGGCCGGGATATCTGACCTGCTGTTGATCCGAGGCCATCGAGCCGTGGTTGTACCAGGGTCCTGAGCCATGGAACCCCATCCTCACTCACCGCCTATGTAGCTGACCGCCCTGCTGCTGAACTGAAGCCACAAGGCGAGTTGTGCAGGCCCAGATCGCTGAGCATATACTCACGTACAGCCTGTAGCTGTTCGCACTCCGGGGGCCCTGTAAACAGAATTGAGCCCCGGTCCTGGGCCATTGGTGCACCGTCCTTGGTCGCCCTCATTGTAGGTGTATACCCTTCAACAAGAGAAAAAACGGTTAACACCCCGTCTTAAAAAGTTCTTTAAAATGTACTAGACCCTTGGGTCCCCGTGCCCATCCCATGTTCACCCGAGGAAGGATATCCGTGCCTCCTGTCCTTCAGCAGTCAATCCTTTCCGATCACTTGGAGAACCTTATATCTTCCCAGTCCAAAAGTGCAGGCAGGAAGCCAAAAAGTAGTGCTAGAGGCTAGAACAGTTAATTCCATAACCCCACCGTCAAGCCAAGTTTAATCAATTGTTTTTTGATACCAAATCACATGGCTTATGGTCACCCCCCATGGGTTTTCCAAGCAATCAGACTGGCTCTCCAGGATGTCAGGTAAAGAAGGTCTTTTCCATCACCTGCTGCCTGGTTGTCTAACTGGAGATGCCAGGGCTTGAACCTGGGACCTTCTGCATGCAACGCAGAGGCCCAACCACTGATCCATGGCCCATTCCAAGATATTCAGAAGTGGAAGCCATGGGCTTGCCTCACCACCCTTGTGGTCCATAGTGGTCTCCAATCCAATCTCGCCAGAGCGAACCCTCCCTCTCAGAGTTTTAATGGATCCGGCTGGCCTGGCAATCCAGGCAGAGCAACTGTGCACAAAATGCGCTCCAGAGCCAGCCCCCCCCCCGGCACTGACAAAGAGCGCGAGCCGGTTGAAAGGCGAGCAAGCTGACCCAACTAAGCCCTGCAGGAATCAAGCTAAAATGGCTGCCAAACCCAGCACATAAAATGGCCACCAAACAACCCAAACCGCTGACCCTTGGTGAGCTTGGGACTGATGATTTAGGTAAAGTAAATGTTTTCCTTGCTCGAAAGCCAGTTAAATAAGACCAAGGGCATGGTCTTCCCTGATGCCAAGCCGAAGAGCCAACGCTGTCCCAAGACAGTGTACAGCGGTCCAGATGTAAGGAAAATAACCTCCCAGAAAACCATAAGCCACATTGTTGGAGTCGGATCCTTGAGTAGGCAAGGGCAGTGGCTCCAACCCATCATGCAATAGCCTAAAAATTTTTCAGGTTGCCCTCACCCTTTGCCTAATATGTGCAACTGGTGAAGCTGATAATCGAACCTGGGTTCCAGCACAGCCCAGCAAATGCTCATCCTGAGTCTCACCCCCCAATTAAAATAGGTGAGAAGCAGGGTTCCCCTAAGCCGAACTGGTGCGAGCCAGCCCAGCCGGTCCACACATCTCCACCCCAGCTCAGGAAGGATGGCCCCAGAGCAGCGTTCCCTCCAAGCTGAGTCAGTGTGAGCCAGCTCACATCTCCTAAACCTCCGGCTCACACACACCCGTCTCGGCTCATGAAGGAGGGCTCCAGAGCAAACTAGGTTAAGCAGTAGCCAAATCACTCGCTCACAACCCCAATGCTAGTAGCTCACAAAGTAGAATTTTTGCTCACAAGACTCCACAGCTTAGAGGGAACACTGCCCCAGAGCAAACCAATTTATGCAGCAGCCCCACTCGCTCGCTAACACCTTAATGCCAGGAGCACAGAAAGCAGAACTTTCTGCACACAAGACTACACAGCCCAGACAGAATATTGGGGAGAAGGGGACCATGGGTGGCCCCAAGAACAGACTGTGAAGGCATGGCGGGAGGTCTGGCATACAATCCCTGGGCCCTGCCAGCAAATCAGGCCGCCTGCCGCATGCGGGCTGCTTTGTTCCCCGCTACAGGCCCCCTGACTTGCCACCCCTCACCAATAAGGGACGCAATACCGAAATGCCCCGCTTGCGCACCCCCACTGGAAAATGCCCCTGGGCCATCCCGCTCTTGCAAACAAACCCCGTCCTACTATCCCCACTATAAGCTGCTCCACCGGCCGGCCCTGCAAGGAGGGGGGTCGCTACCACAGCCTCCAACTGCCCCAGTACTGTCCTGAGCTGCAGCACTTCCAGTACTGCCGCCACACTCCTGCGCCGCTCTCCGTCCACCGAGGCCCGTCTCGCCTCGCATCCGCCGCCACGCTCCAACGACGTCCATCTGAGGCCCAGCGGGCCCCTGCGTCGGCTCCCGCGATTGCTGCCGCGTCCGCCGCTTGGATCCCGCCAGGCGCCCTGAACCGCGCCGCCAGTCCTCGTAGGGGAGGCGGCACGCCGGCAGGCCTCCGTCCCGTTCAGTGTCGTCGCCCCGAAGCGTAGCTCGAACATGCGGCCCCAGCTCCTAAGCCAATTAAAGCAGCCGCACCTTCGAGCTCCCACCAGACCGACGAAACGCGCGGGACTGCTAGAAGGAGAGGCGGGGCCGGGCTTTAAGCCTACACTGCCCCGCCCCCTCCCAGGACCCGCGCACGGCGCTTTTGGCGCCAAATTGCTGTCCGCCTCCTCTGACTGGGAGGCAAAGGCGCCCCCCCAGCCCAACGGCCGGATCGGCCGTGGGCTGTTTGAAGCGTGTTTCCTATGCTGAACCAATCAGTTGTTCCATATCCGGTTCTAACTGTCGCTTCTTGGCCCTTATACAGGTTTCTCAAGAGACATGTGAGGTGGTCTGGTACTCCCATCTCTTTAAGGACCTGCCATAGTTTGTTGTGATCCACACAGTCAAAAGCTTTAGCATAGTCAATGAAGCAGAAGTAGATATTTTTCTGGTACTCTCTTGCTTTCTCCATAATCCAGCGAATGTTGGCAATATGATCTCTCGTTCCTCTACCTCTTCGAAACCCAGCTTGTACTTCTGGCAGTTCTCTATCCACGAACTGTTGAAGCCTAGCTTGTAGGATCTTGAGCATGACCTTGCTAGCGTGTGATATGAGTGCAATTGTGCGATAGTTTGAACATTCCTTGGCGTTGCCCTTCTTTGGGATTGGAATGTATACTGATCTTTTCCAATCCTGTGGCCACTGTTGCGTTTTCCAAATTTGCTGGCAAATGGAGTGCAGCACTTTAACAGCATCATCTTCTAAGACTTTGAATAGCTCAGCTGGAATACCATCACCTCCACTAGCTTTGTTGTTACTAATGCTTTCTAAGGCCCATTTAACTTCACATTCCAGGATGTCTGGCTCAAGGTCAGTGATTATACCGTCGTGTTTGTCAAGGACATTGAGGTCTTTCTTGTATAGTTCTTCTGTGTATTCTTGCCATCTTTTCCTAATCTCTTCTGCTTCTGTTAGGTCCCTACCGTTTTTGTCCTTTATCATGGCCAGCTTTGCATGGAACGCTCCCTTGATTTCTCCAATTTTCTTGAAGAGATCTCTATTAACAAAGAACTTGTACTGGTTCATTCTGATTTTCACTCATTTACCACAGACCCTTTACAATCATGTTTCAGGCCTAAGATGGAGGCTACTTTGGTAGCCCTCGTGAATGACCTGGATTTGTGTATGAATAAGAAGCATGCATCTTTGCTGATAGATCTGTCACTGGCCTTTGACATGGTTGATCATGGGACACTATTAAGGCATTTGAAGTGAAGAGTATGGATTAGAGCAGTTATACCCAATAGCTTAGGAGCCACATGTGGCTCTTTGACATGTCACCTGTGGCTCTTCTGAGCACCTTTCTCCAATGTGGCACCTGTCCATGTTTCAGGAAAGTTGGCAAGGCTCTTGTCCAGTGGGGCTTGTGGTTGGCAGTTGGCTCCCACCTTGAAACAGCCACTGTAGGAGGAACAGAAATGCTGCAAGCCTCACTGAGGTACAGGATTCATGCCAGAGTAACTAAATGTGTGCTTGATGGTAATTTCAGATATCTATTTTATTTATTATTTCAATTTATATACTGCCCCTCTGCCACGAAGCATGACTCCCTCTCTTCATGTCTTTCTTTACCAACAGAAAACAGGAGGGAGCACAAATAAGGGCAAGGCTGAGATGGTTTTAGTAGAAGTTGGGAAGAGCTAATGGAGTTGGAAGGATGATCAAAAGCAGGAAAGAGAGAAGTAGTCTAATGGATCTGAAGGAGACTGTTCTAATAATAGGAAACGATGCAATAAAAGCTTCAAAGGAGTGGGTGAAGAAATACAATAGCAGGAGAATACTTTAAAATAGGACCAAATATAGCATTCCTGGGAATATCATTTGAGAAGTAGTTCATACTGTTGAAATATGGTCATGCTGTTATCAGCATCTGCCAGAAAATTGGCCTATATTTATTGTCTAGTTTTATTTTTATGATATTTACTTTAGTTTGTGGTTTTATAACCTTTCTGATAAAAGATGAATTTTGCATATTTTAAAGGAAGATAAAACTGTTGAAATGCATTTTCATACTCTCCTTTGGTAACTCTCTGGTAATGCTATATAGGCAAAGATGACAGATACAACAATGATATTCCTGCCTATATATTAAGTGATGGCTGCAATAAACAGATATTTCTGTCATTCATATTGTAAGATTTGTTAATCCACAGAACGATCCATGCTTTAACTAATGTTGCTGATAGGCCTGGAGGAAAATGCCCTGTACCTTTAATATCTGCTTCATGTGTAGAAATTGACAGCTGAAGCTTTTGTGGCATGGGGGTAAATAACATAACCTGATAAATAACACCCATTGAGCCTCTATTAAAGGGCCAGGACTTTTTCGCTAGACAGTTGACAATCCTCACTTTAACACATCCATGATGGCTCACCCAATTTGACATTTTGTTCCCCTTTCTCATTTCCACACTTTTTACAGAGCAGTTAAAATTTTGAAATCATGAAAAACAATGGGTACGTATAACTCAGCAAATTTCTTTATTTGATGTGTTTTGAGTTCATGAGAATTTCTTGGCAACATTTTGACACTGTGGTTCATTATCCAGCAATTACATTGCCTCCTGCAGAGTTGTCACCTGTTTTATTTGTGCACAATTTTATTTGTCTTACAGGAAGAAAAGCTGCCTGAGGTGCCTTATTCCAGAATTCTGGCTCTGAACAAGCCTGAGTTTTGTGTTATTGCAGTTGGTGTCATCGCTGCTGCCATTGGAGGTTGTGTTACTCCTGCATTTGCAATTCTGTTTGGAAAAATCATTGGGGTATGTTTAGGACTGTTTAGTAGACAGATTCTCTTTAGATTTTGCAAACGCTTTCTCTTCCACCTTCCAAGCAAGCCTTCTTACTTTGTCCTTTGTAATAATTTTTCTCTGGATCTGATTTTCCGGAAAATTATGAAAGCATCTATCCCAGATTGAAAAGGTTTTTTATATTTGGAGTTAGTAAAAGTGCTTAGGTTTTTTCCATCTCAGCTTATTCCTTGCTTTCCAAAAATACCATTCATAGATGACTGCAAATTAGCTTCCATGTTACTTTCCTCCACTCTTTGTGGCATTAAGCTGCACAATTTCAGTTTGTTGTTTTTCAATGAAGTTGTCCTGCTTTGCTCAATTGTGTCTCTAGGAAACCATTAAACTACATGAAAGGGGCCTTCCAAATGCACATTCAGTTAGTAACTATATGGGAAGATTATATAGGATTTGTATAGAAAACATCTTATAGAAACAACATGGTATAACATAGAAACATGGAAACAATTGAAGCAACACATTGAGGAGTCAAAGGCTGTCTAAAGCTGATTCAACACAAACTGTTTAATCTGCAGTTGCCACGATTTGTCCAGTTGGTTTTTATTGGCCATCTGGATAGCATTGTGGGCTGCTCACTACTTTCTAGTATTTTTTGCGTTACTTCTCTATCTTGATTAAGACTTTAATTTAGATTATTGTTTTCCTGCTTAACACAATTGCAACAACTGATTTTCCCATGAGAATAGCCAAAATACTATGGAAGATTTTTTTTAGAGCTACTATTCCATTAAAAAGCTTTATCTCTTTCTTGTCATTCTAGTCTTATTAAGTATCTTCTGTTTTCTTGGAGCTTGCCCTTCTGCAACTTGTGAATAACTGACTGCATGATCAGCTGAGGGAAAGCACGAGAAATTTTCTTTTCTTTTTGGCAGCAGGCCAATCACTAAACTTTTATGTTTGGTTTGTTATGGATGTTATATTATATATCTTATGAGTGTTGTAAATTTAAAAATCTGGGGTGACTTTAGCTTTCTACAAAGTTAAAAAAATCACTCCTTTCCAAGAATGAACATTTATACATCGGTATAGGCATGTGGGGACAGCGGAAGACAGGAGGGCCTGGCGGGAGCTGGTCCATGGGGTCGCGAAGAGTCGGACTCGACTGTGCGACTGAACAACAACAAAATAGGCATGTGGAGGTACATTTTTGCGGGGAATATAGCACTGTCTGGACACACAAACCCAATTTAACTTTCACTTGAAGCTGGGGTGGAAGAGGAAGGATTGATCAGCAAAAAAAAAGTTCATAGTGGGAAACTAGCTAAATGATGTGAGGAAGAAAGCAGCTAACCCTAAAGGAAATAAAGCAGCAGAATCACAGTTGTTCGGCAGTCATTGGTAAGCATCTGGATCTGCTTATATAGCATTAAGCAGAGGGTGAACTAAATAAAATGGCTGTAAATAGTGATTTCCTGCACTGGTGATTAACACTATGTTTGCAATGCAGACTTTCCAAGGAGATGCCAAAAAGGAAAGCCAAACCAGAGTGCTGCTTTCTCTGATGTTTCTTTTACTGGGAGTGATCAGTTTAGTAACATACATCCTCCAGGTAAGCACTAGCCTAAGGCTGACTTAATATTGAAAACAATCATGAAGTTCCTCCAAATATGAACAGAATGGCCCAGCACATGCATGCCATCTGGATAACAACCTAAGATTAAAGAGTGTAAAGTCATGTGGATGGCCTTTTCCTTAGATCTGTTACATAAAACCAGACTCCTACATTTTTTGTACTATCAATGTATTTAATGGTTTACCAAAACGAACTGTAGTATGGGTTTTCAAGGAGCTGCGGTGGCTCAAGTGGTTAAGATGCTGAACTGCAGGCTGTGGAAGGTCAGTAGTTCAGCAGTTCGAGACCCGAGTTGCCGCATGATGGAGTGAGCTCCCGTCTCTAGTTCCAGCTCCTGCCAACCTAGCAGTTCGAAAGCAAGAAATTGTAAGTAAATAAATAGGTACCACTTCGGTGGGAAGGTAACAGCGTTCCGTGCGCCTTGGTGCTTAGTCATGCCGGCCACATGACCACGGAAACGTCTTCTGACAGCGTTGGCTCTTCGGTTTTGAAACAGAGATGAGCACCGCAACCCCAGAGTCGGACTCGACTGGCTTTCGAGCAAGAGAACCTTTACCTTTATGGGTGTTCTGCAACTGCAATGATATCCCCCAAAACACTAATTCCAGTCCAAGGGCCATCATTCCGCTCTGGGTGCTGTAATTCCAGTCCCACAGCAGTCTATCTGTGGCTCGAGATCATCATTCTAAATTCATTCCTCATTCATTGCAACTTTTGTGTGAAGTAATGTATTTCAGTGGGGTCAGGCAAGTCAGTTGGCATTCCTGGGCGCACGACAGAGCTCAGCAGAGAAGCGAAGGCTGGCAGCGGGGGATGGCCGGAGAGGTTGCAGCTGCTCGGGATCGGCTCGCAGGACACAGATGCGGCAGCGGCCAGACGCCCCCCCTTTTTTGGGCCTTTCGAGGCCAGTGGGTGCACAGCAGATGCAGTCTGCAGCCCTTCCAAGTGCCTGGCAGCTGCCACCACAGATGCTGCCAGTCCCTCCATGCCCATGGAGAAAGCATCCCTCCCTCGTGACAGGTCTCCAGCCACTCCCCATTCTGTCACTACCCACATGGAAGAGAGAATGGGGGAGACAGGCTTTGCCAGCCACAGGGGCCATGCCCAGGGCCCCAGCAAGGTTCTCTGAGTCCCTGGCTACAGCACCCAGGACCTCAGGCAGATGCCTGCCTTCCCCACCAGTACCCTCCTCACCCCCTTCCATAGACATCAAATCTACCTGCTGCATTGGCTCTGGGATCCTGCAATCCCTTGGTCCCCAATACCCCCCTCTTAAAGCAGGCACACTTTTATTTAGTTTATTCATTTACTCTATTTATATTCCCCCTTTTCCCCCAATGGGAACCCAAACTGGCTTACATTGTTCTCCTCTCCTCTATTTTATCCTCACAACAAGCTTCTGAGATAAATTCAGGTGGGTATCCATATTGGTCTGAAGCAACAGAACAAAGTTTGAGTCCAGTGGCACCTTTAAGACCAACGAAGTTTAATTCTGGGTATAAGCAAGAAGTATATGCACGCAATAGGTTATACCCAGTATTAAACTTTGTTGGTTTTAAAGGTGCCACTGGACTCAAACTTTGTTCTTCTGAGGTGGGTTACACTGAGTGTGTGACTGGCCCAAGATTACCCAGCTAAGTTCCATGGCAGAGTGGGGATTCAGACCTAGGTCTTTCAGATCCTAGTCTGGCACTTCAGCCACCACACCACACTGCCTCATATACCTGGACCACCCACTGGCCCGTTCTCCCCTTCACACAGCAGGCAGGAAGGTGAGTGAGGGGGGACCCAGGTGTGAGGCCAGCCTTGGTAGTACTGCTGACCCCCTGATACACATGGTAGATGACCATGATGGGGGACCAGCATGGGCATCCCTGGGTCACAGCCCTCCTTCTTGGCCATGTCATCAGGCAGTCCTGAGGGGGAGTCACAGAGTGGGTGGGGAGGGAGTAGGACAGGGAGGGACATGGAACTCCTGTCATGCAGTTGGAGCCAAACAGAGAGAGAGACAGTTATGGCCAGGGCTTTTTTTGTAGAAAAAGCTCAGCAGG